GGGCCCGAAATGTATGTGTGCCAAGTTTGGTCCGGATCGGATCAGAAATAAAAATTTCTATTCGGAACATACGTACATACATACAGACATACATACATACAGACAGACATACAGACATTCAGCTTTATATATAAGATGTGAACGACCTAATATAGATATTGGCTGAAGGGGAGTACTATGTTTTGAAGTATGTTAAAATTAGGACATCTAATGAGTCCTCTTTCGAAAAATATGCAGTTGTTCTTCAGGTGTCCCATTACTTTCCCACCACCCTAACAGATATTTCAAGCAGCATCAGAAAAGGAGTGACAGCAAGTTTAGCACTTATGGTGTACAAAGTTTCTTTGTAAACTCTAAGAAAAAAATCGCCAGCAGTTTTAGAGAACCTTTCGGTGAAGAACGACAAAAATTGAAATGGCGAATAGCATTAGTTAAGAGTTTCATAGATCCTCCCATATTCATGAGTCAAGTAGGAATTCTGCACGCGCCATGCTACTGCTGGCACATACCTCGTCCATTGTTGCTTTTGAGGCTTTCTTTTTTTCAAGGAAGCTTTGAGGTAATTCTTAATGAGGAAGTAGTGCACTATACTGGAACGCGTGAGCATGGGACAGCAGGGAATGAAGTAGCGAAATGTTCAACTCAATGTTCCCAGTCCGTCTTCGTCAGAGTTCGTCCTTGAAAACTATTTTTTATGCCATATCTATCTGAGTGCTGCCGTGTTTTCTACACTTACGTGAAAACTTAAAGCTAAATCTTGTCCGTGCTAGAGTAAAATTTGCTGAACAATAAAATATTAGGTTATTGCGAAAATAATGTCCGTTTTGCAGAGTTTTAATTTAGAAGGCTGGCGCTTTGTCCATTCTTCATATTTTCGAATGCAATCAAGGCTATCAGAAGCAGTAAACTTTTCTTTACTCAATGTGCACCTGCATATAATGATTTCGCAAACGGGAATAAAACCATGCGCCAAAAAACCGAAAGCTTTTCTTTTAGAAACCTCGCTTTTGAAAGATTACAGCTCCCTTCAAGTTTTCTTCCTATGGATGCTAATCAGCCTATTTTGTAGACGCAAGCCAGTAGTAAAAGGTTGTATAGAAAAAACTTCAACGAATGAGACCTGCAAAAAGAAAAATCGAAATTCAGAATTGTTCACTTTTTTGAGACTATTTGTGGTAGGTCAGAAGGTCCCAAACTACGAAAATTTTGAGTTCATCATGCGCTGAATACTTAAGCTTTTCTGCAAAAATTGTAAGCAGGATATCCTGACCTCAGAAATGAGTGAATCTTTGGCGATTGCCCTAATTATGAGGAACTCTAAATTCATTGAATGCCAGCAGCGTGTATTTATTTCGCGGCAATTTCTCGGTCCAGGTACTTTCGAAAAATCTAACTAAAGATGCTAGGTAAAGATAGGTTAACAATGTTCAACCAATATAGTAGCTATGTTTTCAAAATATAAACATTTGCGCCTGAATTGTAGCCACGGAAATTCAAGGATCAAAATTTCGACTTCGAGTGCACTAGTGCGAAATGCCGGCAAAATTCAGATGAGATAAAGTTTATTTTCACCACTGTTAGAAAGTACATGAAGAAAGCTCTCCAATGATATGCAGAATCTATATCGAAAAAGAAATTTCAAAAAAAAAACTTTGAAAAGTAGGCTTAGAAAAACGGACTTTATTTTTGCAACAGCCTAATAATTTATAACCTGAGCGTTCAAGAGTTGTTTCGCAGACCTTGAGATATAAGCATTTGATCGAGCACCTTGATATGCGCACTCGAGGCCAGATTTACCTTAGGATTTAATGAAGAATACGGCCACAAAATACCCATGTAAAGAAAAAAGAACTTGAAACTTACTCAATAATTTTTTTACGCTACGTGCTGCTGTGCTAAATATCCAAGAAATAGTGACGTGAGAAGCGAATACGCTTATAACCCGTTTTGGCAATATTAATGAAGTAGTGTTGCGATCGCACTAAATGAGTAGTGAATGTAAACAGTAAGTAGTGAAGTTACACAATTTCTTTATTCGAAAATTTGGAATTTTCATCGAATATCTTACTGAGATTGAAGAACCATTAGACTTTCATGTGTCGAATCGTTCGTAGAATTTTGGTAGAATACATCTGATGGTTTGAAGTTTACAAAGTATACGAAATAAACTCAATCACCTCTTGCTAATATATTATAATATTTTGACAATGTACTCTTATTGTCCAAAACTCATTTGAGGAGAGTGGTTCTTGGCTCAAATCTGGTGAAAGGCACCGTTTTCACATTCGAATTGTGAGTTCGATACATACTGAAAGCACCTGCAGTTCGGTCTACAGTACACTCGTCTTGTTCTCGCGTCATGAAAAATGTCTATTTTGCCCATCTTTTGACGTCATTTCACCTTTGATCATGAACTTTTGTGAACAGAATTTCAGCGAGCAGTAAGCAGGTGCGAAAATGCTTTTTTAGGTTAAATATGCCAAAGTGCATTTTTGCAAGTGCCCGCAGATGATTTCGAATGCGTATGGAATTTGCAGTTAAAATGCAAAAGGGTTTGTTTCTTCCCCGAATTTGAATCGCTAGCTGCCTTTTATTGGCAGCACGTTGACCAATACACAGCCATCGATGGAAGTCGCTGACTTCTAATAGTTGTGAGTGGCCCTAAATTGAAACTTATACACTTATAGACTTATAGAGTATAAATCTATAGACTTCCGTAATTCCTTCCGGAGAAGCGTTCCGCAGATATAAGTGCAGATTTGCGAGCAGCGTTCGAAAATGTGCTAAACGATGTGCACTTCATATTAAATGGCCACAGTCATAGAAAGTATGTACTTCCATCGTTAGTCGATCAACAGCACCTGAACGAACTCAGTGTAGATTTCTGGTTGCTCTAAACTAAAGCTAGGCTTTCATAAATATCATCACATATATCAAAGTGACAGGTCATATGACAGCTCTTCGACAGTAAGAGGGAAACAGCAGCATTAATCAATTTTTCAAATGATTTTCGAGATTTTCGTAGGAGCAACTGTCATTAGCTGTTACACTGTTATTTGAGTAGTCATCACTTAGTCGAGGATATTCTTTATAACTAAGTTTATAGTCAAGCCAATTCAACCTTCACGGCTTCTTCTTTCAATTTGATTCATTAGGGTGGCACAAATTTCTGTCCCACTACTTTTATATCCATGACTTCTCGCTTTCTTATCCGTTTTGTTTGCTTCCGTTTTTTGTTTGAGTGAGAGAGAGAGCAGAACATGCTTTTCATAAGAAAACTTTAGCGGCTATTTTGCATAGGTAAAAGCGCTAAAAGAAAATTATTCAATTTGGTACTATTTCTGTTGGGTCATAAAAAATCTGTAACATGCAGTAAAAATCGTCCTTACAGATCTCATTTCCTGCTCTTTCGAACCGAGCAAAACTTTTGCTGATTGTTCGCCTCCATGAAAATGAAGTTTGAAGAAAATGAGAAGAAAATCAAAATTGCTGTTTTGCTCTGCTTGTTCCAAAATCATAACTTTTCAAAGAGTTTATTTAGACAGCGCGAGCTTTACTAAGCTAAAAAAGCAGGAAGTTGAACCTGTAATGAGCAAACACAGGGAAACCAAAATTTAACTACCCTAATTTCGCGATTGGAAAAAAATCCTCCGCGCCTTATACGCGTGAAATTAGGGTGATTTTCATTCACTGCTTCTATTCGTGCAAAGTATGCTCAATAGAAAGCCAGTAATTTTTGGAGGTTATTATGTAGCTTTCGAACAAGTATGAAAGCTAGCAATTTGGTTATGAAAGCAAAAATCTATAAATTTCAATAATGCTGCGACAAGAACTTTCGCGCCAACCTAATATGAATGACTCTAAGCTGCTTTTTGCATTTCTGGTCATGATTGAAAGTGTTGAGTTTCTATGGAATTCTTACGATAATTTCCTGTGCCGCTACATTGTTTCCGCCGTAATAATAATTATTTTGTTACATAAGTTTTGTTACTTCCTCAAACGATTTTCTCCTCATTTTCAACCTATGTGCAAAGTAATGTGTTTTTGATATGCATTACACATGTCACACATAAAAAAGTTTTTTTTGTGATTCGAATCAAGTTGGCAAATTTTTAACTTGTGTCATTGAAAAGGTTAAACTTCCAACTGCTTTCGTATTACTACTGATGCTCCTGGCAGTTCATAAAAAATATATATGTGAAAAAAATGAGAAAATTTCAAAGTAAAAAAAACAGTGTAATCCTTGTTACTTTTGTCTGTGTGAGTGAAAATATTACCCATGTATCTTTAACCCTCTCCCGTATACGAGTTATGAGATTCTCTTGAATTTTTTGGAGTTTTCCAACGAAAGACGAATAAGGTGTGCAAAAGCTATGTCAGAACCAAATTCCTTTTTCGAAGTATAATGAAGCCACTCGTTGTTTTGCAGCCCCTTTCCTTAGAAGTTTTATGGCATCCTATTGCGATAGACTCTCATCTGGAAATCGTTTTCTTGCTCATTCATTGTGTACCGACTTCTTCACATAATCTGAATATACTATTTCCATGATTTGCGAGCCATGAGATTCTTGCAATCATGTGATTCTTGCGATTTCCGATGTCCATCGAGTGCCGAAAGTGCTTAAGATATGTTTGGCGATCGAATTAAAAAATACATTTTTTGCATACTCGTTTTGTAATGACCAGAAAAGGCTGAATAACATAAAGATAAGAGCAGAGCAAAATAAGAAACTAATAATGTTTTAACCATCAGCTGAATCCTGTACTGTATTGTACTTTTTTGCGCTTCATAAATGAGGAAAGTTCAGGAACTGCAGGAATTATAGTATTATAGTAGCCACAGCATTTTCAGGATTTGGCCAAACCCACATTACACTATACATGGACCTAAGATTGTCCCACGATCTTCATTCTTGTCGATCTTCTTCATCCTCACCAACTTGAAATTTTCTCACTGAACGTGAATCTACACTTTCTCAATCATTTGTTCTCGATTTTAGCGTACGCAATATGTACTTCAAATCAGCTCAAAAAATGGAAGCGAAACAACAACTCAAAGTTGGAATGCTTGGAACAATGCCCTCAAGAGCTGTAAGTTGATTGTTCAAAAAAGGCGGTAGCTAACAACAAGATTTGTAAAATGCAGGGGTGTCGATACGCTATTTCTGTTCTTTGAATCGTGCAAAGCTTTCAAGGTTTTTTTTCAAAAACTCGCAGCATTTCAACCATATTCGCCAAATCAAATTTTCTGCACTTCTGTGACGGCAAAAGCTGCGTTTTTCGCAGAAATATGATTTTTCGTGATTACAAAAAATGCAAGACAAAAAGTGCTAGAGATTGGATTTCTAGCACCTTTTGCCCATTCCACAAAGACTTCGAGCTTCTTGGCAATCTGAGCAACAGTTACTTATTTGTCTTTATTTACCTCATAACTTAAACAATGAGCCCGTTTTTTCCAATAAGGAAAGCTTGTTTAGCCGAAGTTATCACTACTCCACTTAAGAGCTCAAAAATTATCGCGCTTTTTTATGTCCTACTTGCACAATAACAAATTGTTATAAATATAATAGTAATTAATATTTTAATAATAATTAACAATCTATATTAATATAATGAATTCTTTGCTCCAATAAGCTCTCATAACTCCTCATCCATAAACGATCTGCAGATAAGGAGGACAGAATTGGAATGAGCATTTCATGCCCTTCAATATGGTATACATCCTATCTAAAAAAAATCACTTCGACTAAACATGCTTCCCTTGTAAGAATATCTACACCTCATTGTATGTTTTTCCTATTTGCAAGAGTAGCCCTTTTGCTTTTTAGTGCATTTTTTTCAGCAAGAGTTTGCCATCTGAGTAAAGTTAGCGCGTCAGACTGCAGCTTCATGCACATTTGTTTCCAATAACTTTGCTGCGTATTACTCACATATATCATTTACAGGTGACAGATTTTCTCTAGAATTTCGATGCTGCACATTTTTGTCAAAAACAAGATGATAAGTTGGCAGACTGCTCCAAAGCTGACCATTCTTTGTTTTCATTTCTTCGGACAATTTTCATTTTTTGACAGACCCATTGTATAATTATAATTTTTCGCCCTGCAGTCTAGCCAGCTTCACTGCTTCCTGTTTCGAAACCTTCTTTATTTTTTATTTCTGAATTCACAAAGGGAACACTGACCCCATTTTGTCCTTTGTGATTTATTAGTGTACGACCAGCTCCGGCTGTTGGGTTCAGTTGCTCGTTTTGCTGTATCCTTGTTTCTCTTTGATTAGCTTTTTTTGTCAAACTGGAAGAAGAAAAGATAATATTTTTACAAAATTCTCTCCAGCTTAGATTGCAGAAAAGCTTCAAAAGATATAGAAAATTACTCGATGCGGAGGCAGAGAAGACGTTTTACCAGTTTTAAAGACCAAAATTGTTAGTGAATTCTACGAGTACTTTTGAATTTCGATTTTTTTCCAACTTTTTGGTTCTGTCTAGAATTGTGGTTATTTTTTTGAATTTATTACGGAATCCACCTTCAATTAGCGACCAAAATTCAAAATATCATTTTTTGGGTATTCCTCTTGATCAGCTTGTACCGTTGCCAAATGCAAATAATGAATTTTGATTCAAGCATAATCGAAAAATTCAAAATTTCCGCTCTCTATCTTGTATCAAGTCAGAATGCGTTGAAGTTGAAGAACAAAATTCGAAAATTCTGAACAAGCAGCATCAATCTAGTAGATTTCATCTTGTTTATCTTGCATGTCGTCAACTTCAAAGTAGTATCGTTAAGGATTCTCTATGTCTTCAAAAAGCTTCCTAGCCTCCTGTTGAGTTCGATTCGAGCTGTCGATATTGAGCTTTGATTTTGCGCCATTATCGTTTCATGAAGTACATTTGTTTAGACATGCACAGCATCGCTCTCTGCAAAAAGTGCTCAAATCCCTCAGCAGTTCCTCTCCAGTTCCTCTTCCAAATCCCTCGCCAACTAATGCATATTAATGTTCCATTTATATTCACTTTCGCATTCAGAGTACATCATGGGTGCATATCCAAAGATATTTTTATGTTTTATTTGCTAATTACTTGCTTCATTTGCTGTCTCTTACGAAATTAGGAACCTTTGTTGTAGTGTTCTAAAACTAAACTAAAAATCATTATGGGACCAAAGTTATGTATTAATCAAACTGAAGTAAACTGGCAATCTAACCTTTGATTCAACAGGCTTGGCGGTCGGAAGGCGGGGCTTTGTAACCTACTTAAGGCCGCTCGCGCCCGCGACGCGGTTTGCGTCTCTCCTGCGCGCGTGCTCTCTGATCATTACCTAGCCTCAATTAGGTCACGAAGCTCCACCTTTCAGCCGCCAAGCCAGTTGAATCAAGAATACTTTGCTTTGTTCATTCAATTTTTTTGTCAGACTCAGTAAATATAGAAATTTTTCGATTACTAGTCTACAGAATAATCCATATCAGGTGTGACTGGCTGTAGAACTGGGACAGCCCTCAGAAAGTAGATATTTTTTGCCCCCATTACATGATGATGGCAAAAGCAACCTCAGTGACTGTCCCAAATTTTCTGAAGGGGAGGGAGGGGGAGGGGGAGAGGAGGAAGAAGAAGAGTGTAGATCGCAGAAAAAAGGAAACCTTTTCCGGTATAGAAATCGTGGCGAATCTTGCCATCAAAAACTTTTTCAAGTACTTCGAAAATTTTCAGCGAACTATTGCATTTTCAGCGATTATTGTAAAAGATTTTTTAGAATTACTTTTGACTGTTACAATGTTTGAAAAACTAATCTGATGATTCAGAAATAAACCTTAAATGCACATTCTTGTATTTTAAGACATAATGTGCGATCATCTTTGCCGTTTTTGAAATTTTAGAGATATATTCCTTGAAAAAGGTGGAACGGCAAATACGAGTTGCCGCTTATGGACATACTACTTTTTTGCATGATTCAATCATAGATAAGGTCCTTCATGTATGCATGCTCATGCAAAAGATGTGTCAAAAGTCACATTATACAAATGGCAATTCGCTTTTTCTTAATCATACGGTATATGTGCCAGATGCAAAATGACGTCAAGGCATCCTCATTTGAAATAGTTTTCTTTCCAAGCGCTCACCATCTCTCTTAGCCAAAGTTTCAATAAAAATTCAAATATTTTTTCCCTCAGTGATTTTAGCGGAAAATGGTTTTTAACCTGCATTGATAGCATCAAATTCAGTATTCATACTCTGTTGGTTCCCAGTTTTCGCTGTCTCGGGCAGCCGTCGGCGCCGGCAGCCGTCGCTAGCAGCCCGTAGCAGCCGCGAGCACTCCGTAGCGCTCGTAGCAGTCCGTATCCGCCGCTAGCAGCTTTTGTTATAGGACCGCAAAATCGAATGAAATGTGTAGTTATCAATTGTGTAGTTATCAACTGTTGTCAATAGTTATCAATAGTTAGTATCAATTGTGTAGTTAGAGTTCACATAACATATTTGTGCCCATTTCATTACCTTGTCGCCGTATGGTCATCAGGATCAAGCGTGTGATGCGACTGTCGCAACGGGGGGTCGTAAACGGGGCCTACGTTGAGGGGGGGGTCGTAAGAGGGGGTAGTTTGAATAAAAAATTGTACGATTGAAAGCAAATCAAATAGCAAGTAATTATTACATGTTCTTAACAATAAATTCATGGAATGCCGTGTACTCATGTATCAAATAGAAACAGTGAACAATAATTTGAAAACATTAGCGTAGAAATTCGCTTCATTTGGTGCACTTTTGAAAGATTATGACTTAGTTCTTTGTTTATGGGAATCGCTATTTCTCCCGCAAAATATTGTCTCAAACGGGGATCGAACCCTGCTGGCATGACTAAAATCCAAAAAATAAAGACTTTCAGAAGCTCAAATGCTACTAAAGGCATGTATGTGTGATAAAAATGTTGGATGGTGTAGATCCTGCTTCCGAAGGCTCACTGAAGACTCGCACACTCGACAAAAGCGCACATGTATATCAACGATGACAATCAATAATTCGTAAATCTTTTTGTAATGCCATTTATGCGGCCCTCACAATTTATATGTACTCTAGATAAGCCCTGCTACTGCTGTGCGAAATCTGGTGTTATTTTATAAACTGCGGATTTTCTTATGATTTTATGTATGTCAGCAAAGAATGAGAAAAGGGTGGTCGTATGTGCGCCTGATCTAAATTTTTTCGGAGCTATTGAAGCTTGTTAGCTGCAAACTTGCTATACGAGGCCATCCCTCTAGTTTTCATCATAAGAATTTCAGGCTGTTTCATAACTTCTCTGGTAAGTTACAAAATTTTGAGCACAAAAATCCCAGTTTTTGCTTTTTAGGATCGCTTCTAAATTTGCGAGAGCCTGATCTAAATTTTTTCGAGCTCACTGCTCCTCAAGGGCTGAAACTTTTTCTATGAATAGTGCACTATGCTAAAGAACCTGTTCCTTGCAGCCTTTCAGTCTTTTCCTGGCCTTAGTTACGAATTTTCAAACTACCATGCTCATGCATGTTTTTGAAGTCGTTCTGGACGGCGCTAAAGCGGTTTTTTTCGCAGGAAAAACTGTGGAAGAGGTAAGAACTGAGCTTCTTAGTCGAAAACATCTTTTGTAGTTCAAGAATGTCATTTTGTTCTCCGTGTAAAAATTTGTGTCGCATACGGCAATCGAATTTGTTGGCCTGAAGTACGCCTGAAATTTCAAAAGTAAACTTGCAGAATCTCAAACATTGTTGAAAGTTGTATATGTGCTAGAGATGCTGGGCGCATCCATTGCCCTAGAAATCCTGCTTCCGAAACCTCACTGAAGTTCTCACGCAGGTGTTTTTTGAGATTGACATTCGTTTATGCAGGTTACCGCGAGAAATGTGGGCAGGGGAGGTAAGGGGATAGATGGGGGAGGGGGAGGGAGGAGGGAGGGGGTCGGACGGATGGATACCTTCAAGGGGGGGGGGTCGTAAATGAGGGTCCAGGATCGCATCAACACGCTTGACCCTGATCGTCATCCTGTTGAGCCATAGTTCGTAGAAGTTTTTTTCCGTGTGATTTCCTGAGACTTCGATACGTCCAGTCCTGCATTGCACGTGTGCAATTT